GAATGAGATGACGGAATTCAAAAGTTTTCAGTCTTTGCATTCCTCGCTTTTCATTTTCAAGAATACAGAGTAATTTGTTAAAGCGTCATTATGTTGTCTTTCACAAAATGATGAGGCTTGATGTACATTGACACAATAGTGAAGGGAGATGATCGTGACAAACTCGCAGATTGTATAATTAGACAAGCTAAGCTTATTCTTTCTCTCATTCATTCTCCTCGTTGCTTGTGACCTTGTTGCCTCGGTACAAGTGGAATGAGGGATGACTTTGGTTCAGTTTTGGTGGAAGCTGAAAAGATGCGAGGGAAGAGCAAAAGGCCAGCTTTCACCGGGGGGGAGAGTTTATGTTCCCTCTGCTGCCTGAATCCAAGTCCTCGTCTTTCACTGCTCCTCCCAGCTCCCTCATTCCCTCCTATTGTGTGTTCGCTGTTGTAACATCTGCTTAATGGGCCTCTTCAGTGGATAGCCTCTTCCATCTTCTCGCGCACGCATACATATTGTGTAGGCAGGCACATACACATGCACATGCACATACACAGTCTCTGCTCTGTTGGTTTGTAGTTTCAAATCTTTTTATCATATTTTTTTTCCTCTTTTTAAGGTGTCTTAATAGAAAAATATGATGCTTTGAAAGTGGGAAGGACATTTTGTCAAGTTCATTCAAGTAATTATATCAGTGCATATGTACATTTTATTGGAATTCACACTGCGTGTGTGTGCTATGGCAGGTATTAAAGAGTTGGACAGTGGAGCAGCTAATATTACCTATTGAAGGAGTCATGTAAATATTCTCTCTCTTCTTTTCTTTGTCTGAAACTTTTGAATTCAAGGTTTTTCTTCCACGTGTTTAGCTGAAAATTGGCCTCTTTTGACTGATTCCACACCCTGAAACCAACATTAATGAATCCCAGCAGTGATTTCTGTACACGGAAAGGAGAAATGTCTTCTGGCTGCAAACTGTCTAATTAGCTAGATGGAAACGCAGGCAGAAGATGGCTCAAAGGTTCTGGAAAGTAATGTTGTGTGTGTGTGTGTGTGTGTGTGTGTGTGTGTGTGTGGGTATTTGTCTATGTATGTTCTCTGCCTTGGATTCAAGTTTGTGTAAACTCGGACTCCTGGATCTAAACTCTGGCAGGGATTGTACGGTGTAAGCCACATGAGCAATCTCAGTGAATCAAAGACAAGGCCAGCGGCCTGTTTTTCAGTGAGCTAGCAGAATTAGCTAGCTAGGAGAGCTCAACGCTGTACACAGCATCACAGGGCATTCTGTTTAACTCGGACCATCCCAACAAATAAGCAGGGATCAAAGGATTAGAGCACCGTTATTAAAGCCATCAGGAGATGTGATGCAGGGGCATGCTAACATGATGCTACTCATGTTACGCTCTCACAAGATGGCATACAAGGCCTGGCTTTTGAAACTCAATTTGAAGGAATGCTTTACAGTAAAATACAGTTTCATATAAAGTGTGGACATATTGATGTTTAGATTTGCAGACATTTGGCACAAGTATTCTCAGTGGATTACTTCCTTGGTAGTCTGCGATATTGCAGACCACATCTTGGCAAAGGTTCACGGAGTATGAGAAGATCCCAGATGACACCGGATTCAGTGCTAAAAAAACATAACAAACAAATCCTCTTGTAGCAGTTGGACTGCCTCACCCTACAGTATTCTTTTACAGCTGAGCCATTACGCCAAATCAATATCCCGCCGTGATAATATGTGCTGTATTTAGCCAACCTAAACTTTGCTTTTAGCTTCCCCATCATGCCAGACACGTGGTTTTATGTCCTCGTGTCTGGAATGTGCTGTTGAATCTTCCATTGAAAGGCAAAGGAAATGTGTTTTCCAGATAACATTACAGTTGCAATAAAGCTTGGCTTGGCCTGTGATTGAAACAATACCGCGCCTAAGCCGCACTGAGCCCACCTGTTTGTTCTTCCGTAATTGGATTCTGCTTCATTCCATTTGCCTTAATGCTGATGCATAATGCAGTGTACTGAGGGGACCAGCCATTACCAGCCAGGGGACAAGGCTTGGAGGAGTAACCTGACCTCGCTCTCGCCATCCGCCACCCCGTCCCCCACTCCCCCCCTCTACCCCCTCCCTCCCTCCCTCCCTCCCTGTCCCTGGGACTTCTTTTCAGGGTCCCTGTCCTTCAAAGCAGCCACTTGCTCAGACTAGATGGATTGATGGTTGAGGCTGTGCGCCTGATGGGAACCAGAATAGCAGGTGTTGATGTTACGGCCTACAAGAACAATAAACTGGCCCTCTGCAGCATGTTAATCCAAAATAAACAGGAGCTGGCGCGGACAGCTCGGGCCCGGGCGGAGGGATCCTCATCAAACATAGAATGAAGAGTTGCTACCAAGAAAGGAATGTAGAGCCAAAGCTTAATCTCTCCTTTGTAGTCAAGAATGTACAGCAACACACCTCAGCCATCCACAGCAGGTCAACACAGTGGCCACATCCAGGCTCGGTTCAACTTTACTTTTCCCACATTAAAAGAACATAAAAGTGTTACATGCTGTATTTATACTGTAAAACTGGTTTAGCTGCATACTTAATGCCACAGGTATTACCGGTCACACAATCATGATATGTGTTCACTCTCGTGCCTTCCTGTCCACGATTTTCTTTCGTGTAGGAGGTAGATAAGCGTGTTGCGGTCAAATCTACAAGCATCACAACAGCTTCGCAAACTGTCATCATGACAGAGTCTCCCACATGCTCTTTGCCGTTTCCATCAGGGCCATACTTCTCTCATGATCAGCTGCCTTTCCTAAGTGGCTGGTGTCGATGGCTGTGACTCAGCTCTGCCCACAACAATGATGAAGATAAGACATCTGGAGATAGTGTGTGTGTGTGTGTGTGTGTGCGCACACGTTGAAAATGGGAGCATAAAGTAGCGGTGGAAAAGAGAAGTGGAGCAATAAGAGGAGTGACATAAATTGTGTGGGTACTGGTGTGTATATGTGACTGAGTGGGTGAGCGACGGTGGCCGAGGTTCATTAGCGTGTCATCAGCTGCCTCCACACCGAAATAATAAGGCCCTCTCTCTCCCCCTCTCTTTCTCTCTGCCCCCCCGCCACCCACGCCCCCCAATCTGCTGAATATGAACCGAGCTGTGAAAAAAGAGCATCTGATCTCAAGTCACCTCTCTCGCACACTGACACATGACTAAGGAACAGATAACAGCTGATGAAGCGACAACATTAAAATGGTAGAAGCGAGGTCATGAGGCGAGAGGGATAGAGAGGGGGAGAGAGGGAGGGAGAGAGAGACAGAGAGAGAGACAGAACTTGATGAGCTGTGGAGAAGGCTTCGCAAAATGGAAATGATTGAAAGAGGATGCAGCGTGAATTTGATAAGAAACTGTCATCTGGATCTCAGGGTAAATCAGGGGAGTAGAGAGCATGCAAAATGGAAGAAAAGGAATAGATTTCCATTTCTTCTGACCTTTTTTTCCTGCAGTTATTAGTCAGTAATGCTCTTAATAAACACATCCCCTGGCTACAGAAGACAGCTCACTGCTTTTACCACTGCCTCAACATGAAACAGATGCTGGGACATTGATTGCACTGACATGTAGAGAGACATTTGTGAATGTAAAACATTCTGCCGACAGGAGATGAGAGAAAAAAAAAACATGTAGCAACACTACCACACAGATATGAAAACCTGTATCTTGTTTGCATGTTTGCAAATTTGCTAGTGCACGTGCTGTAAATATGATGACGGCAAGTCAGTTGAGCTTTGATGAGTGGATATGACCACGCTGACAGACGAGTGGAGAGGGTGACACAGCTGGGAGAGAGGGAAGGGAGGGGAGGGGTTAGGTAAAGGTTCACTAGAGAGGAGTTGACAGATCCCAAATGGTAGCCTTTGGAAATGCTTGGTTCCATTGCATCAGCTGTGGAATGATCCACAGAAGACATAAAATGATGCCCAAAAGACAGCTTCACGGACAATATGGTCTCTGTGGAGCTGGAGGGGGGAAAATAGAAATGAAAACTACTAACAGCAAATAGCATTAGCATCATTGCATCATTGTCACCAGAGTGGGGAAAAGCCTACACTATTCTCCATTTGATACGAGGCCCTAACACAAGACAACCATATTGTTTTTTTTACAACTACTGTATGTTCTGCTGCCATGATGGATGCAGGCGGTGCCATGTGTTTGACCCCTATCCTCATGTACAGGAGACAGCACCTGGTGTCTCACCACAACATCATTAGTGGTCAACCACACAACACACACACACACACGCGCGCGCGCGCGCGCACACACGCACACACACACGCATTCTCCACATGATATTTTTAGGAGACGTGATTCAACCACTACAGTGGCTAACGCTCAGAGATTCACACCCCATGGGCTTGACAGGAAAGGATCCATTTCCTGACAGCAACCGCAAACCATCCGTACATGCACCACGTACATCCTCCTCGGTGCGTGTGAACTTTGTGTCTCTTGAAAAGTGTTGAGGTCTTTATGGGAGGAAAATACATAAATGTATAATTACAAAGCATTGGCACAACATGATATCTTTTTTTTTTTTTTTTAAAGAAATGATGCAAATTCCTTGATCCTTCCTAAGCTTCTGCCAGTTGTAAAAAAAAAAAAAAAAAGAAAACCTAAAATGCTACAATTAAACTGTGAGTAAAGCACTTCACTTTCCCCTGAGAGAGTTCTCTAGCACATCTGCAAATACTTTCTACCTATTATTCCACAAAAACCATGACTAACCCTGTTAAATCCACTTAAGAGACAACATTAACGACCTGAAAGTGTTTTTTTTTTCCTGAATAAACTACCTCAGTTTAAACTCTCGTCTACAGGAGAGAAAATATATTAATTATTAAAAATCTATTCATGCAGAAGGTGGAAATGAAAACGAGGAATTTTTACTGTTTACTGCACACGTGATAGCACTTGTGGTATTGTAGTAACACCCTCTGTACCTGTGTTTATTGCATTTTTTTTCAGCCTCCACCATCGCTGAGAACGGGAGGAAAACATGCCTGAAGCTCAAAGTTTTCGTCCGACCATCAAGTAAGTGTTTGCATGCAACACAAGGCTTTGTAATAGAGCTTGCTGAAGTATACATTTCGGATTGAAAATCAAAACAATTTATGTCTAGGTCTCTTGTTACCTCGCTGCCTCCTCAATTACCTTTTGCTCACTGTCCAACATACCCCCTTTTCATTTATCACAGAACTGCTTTACTTCTGAGCTATTTTTTTTATTTTTTATTTTTTTATGAGAAGGATGATAGATGATCTCATCAAAGGAAATTCAGGTCACTTCATACCTCATCTGAATGTTGCCATGAGCTTTGTTGCTTGGGATGTTTGATTTCAGGGCTGAAGGGGGGGGGGGCTTCAAATGTCACTAACCTATTTGGCATATACCTCTAATGATCTCTCATTCTCCCTATTTTCTGTTATAGACAGCTGTGTGAAAACTATAGGCGTACATGACCGTGTTTTTGATGTAAACGACAAAGTAGACAATACATTAGAACCACGAGGTTAGTATGGCTTCCTGCTTCCTTTTTTGATTCTCTTCAGTGTGACCTCCATACATCTGTACATGTGTCTCTTGTTCTGTGCCTCTTTCCTTTCGAGCCGTTTGTCTGGATGCTGACCTGTGTCCCTCCACCTCCCCGCCTGATGCTTCTCTTACACTGACTGTACGCCAGATTTCCAAAGTGGTGTCACGTCACCGTCGCTGCTTACGCGTTATAAATTGCTGTTTGTGTAATTATACTGTGGGGTTCTACTGCATGCTGATGTGTCAGTTTACAGTACGTATGATTTACTCATAGACGCGCATGTTTCACACTGTTGTCACTTCCAGCTGCATGTTGAGCTCCATATTCTAATCTTGATTATCAGGATCACTCACTTGAGTGTTTTCTAATTAACATGACCAGTGTAAAAAAAACAAAACAAAATCATTAAATGATATGTCCACACATACACATTCACACAGCAACAATACATTTGGCGAATTTCAATTTTACGTTTTACTCTTCACTGAGTTGCAGTTTGGCTCTGTAGCGCAGCACTGATTATTTTCTGTGCTCAGAACGCGCAGCACTTTTATGTCTTCATACATGTCTCACCCAGTCACTGAATTGAAACACTCCACATCTCACCCACATGCTGCCGTTTCATTCCCAGCACCCGCTCACCCCATTGTCTGAAACGACACAAAGACCCGCCTCACTGGGAATATACAGTAGAGAAGAAACTGTCAAATACAGGACGTTAGTCATTTAAAACTGATATTTGAGTATTATTTAAAATTATTGATTTTTTTTTTTTAATTTTAGAAAATTAATTAAAGAAAAATTGATGTTACATTCTAAAAATCAGAGGAATGTTACATACAAGCCAGACATATCAACGCTAGAGCATAAGACATTTGTGATGCCCACCTGCCTCTCCTGCTGCCTCATTTTCTACCTGCCTATTTGTCCGCCTTCGCTATCCTGCCTGCATCTTCCACGGCTGCCTCTCACCTCGCATGCTACTTTTGGCTCATTCCCCTATTATGCTCTCCAAAGGAGGGAAATTAAAACATTCATCCGTCATCTGCTGCTGCCCTGTCCATCCGCTACCACACACACACACACACTCACACACACTCACACACATTTGTATAGTTATGTAACTGTCCGGTCCTCGGTTCTGTCTGATCTTTCCTTTGCTGCGCACGGTTCATCTCTTTTCCCATGGTGCAGCTGGCACATGGCTGCTCACACATACTGATGCCACTGCCAGGCAGACACAGGAGGCACCTCACCTGAGAGATGAACTGAAAATGTTTCTGAGGATGAGAGTAGAAAACATTATATAGCAACTGAAGTTCATATGGCAACTCAGACGTCACTATTACAGCCTTAAATATAATTGTTACACTGAACAAAACTTTATGAACAGGAGCCCGGGCACCTCAATTATGCACTGCTGTCTCTACTTTTGTCAGGTTACAGCTGTGTAGATCACAACACAAAACATCTGAGATTAAAGTCATCGCATAATGTTTTCTCTCGTCTGTAATGTACTGTTGCAGTTTGTACCATAAACAGCAATTCACCTCGCTTCTTCTTCTCTCCTTTAGACGATACCAGTCATGAACCAGCTGAGCCTTCCCGAAGTGAAACGAATGCTGCGCCACACCTGCAGAACACAAGTCCGCTCTTGGCTTTGTTGCTGGTCTGCCTAGCAGCACTCTTCACTTTATAGCGCCTCCCTCTGTCCCGGAGGGCATTTACACCTAGTGTGGCCTGAATCTGCCCGAGGCTGCAGGGAAAGGGGGGCAGGGCTTTGGGTGCAGCGTGTTTGCTTGATTGGGCATCAGAGCAGGCTTCTCAAGGAACCCTCTATTTTTTTCAGAAAAATATTTAAGTGGTCTTTCTCCGTCTGTGAGTGAAAAAAGTTGATGTTGGAAGGGGGAGAGATAGTCCCCCCCCTCTTAAACCTTCAACTAAGATGCCAAATCTTGTTTTTTGACACTTAGTGATTCTTATTTTCCCGTGACTTGACATCCCTTTACATCACGTTTATGTCATTGCAGCACTGATGTTTACCCAAACACACATGCACGCGCGCACACACACACACACACACACACGCACGCACGCACGCGCACGCGCACGCACACGCACACGCGCACACACACACACACACACACACACACACACACACACACACACACACACACACACACACACTGCTTACAGAGACAAAAACAGAAATGCCTCTACACTAACAGTCATTAGCAGTAGGGTTTTTACAAAGTTGTAGACAGTAGCAGCGTTACACAGTAGGAAAGTGAAGATTCTAGGTCTTAGAAATGACATACATACACAAATAAATAGTTACCCCGAGACCTCTCAAGAAGCCTTTCAGAAAATATTTTTGATCAAGTTCTGCTGGGACTTTTTGCACCCATTTTACTGGGAAGTGTGGTACAAAGCTGAAATATGAAGATGTGGGGGTGGTGGTGGGGTGGTGGTGGTGGGGGGGGGGGTGAAGGTCAGACTGGAAACCACAGCACTGAGAAATACAATGGCATGCACCTTAGCCCGCTGATCTTCAGACTGTCCAGGTTTAGAGACTGAGTGAGTGATAGTAAAACCTTCTCTTGTCCTCCGTTGTGCTAACCCTAACCCAAAGCATTCGCGTCAATCTGACTCGCAAAACAGCTGAAAATTGAAACTTTCTTACCAGACACTTTGTGGGCCTGTTATTAAGATCAAGGATCAATACCTTTTGAGAGCTGATCACACAATTTCACGGCAACGGTCACAGTCGTTTTATTCTATGTTTACTGGACTGGGCGGCAATTGTTGTCTGTTCCATTTGAGTATTAGTCGATATTAACACCCCCATAAACATTTGCATCTGCAGCTTTTTTTTCCTTCCCTATTGATTGTTAAAACTATTGTTTAAAAATGATTCACAGCTAAATTGCACACTTTGTTTTTTTGTTTTTTTTCTAAACCATTAAGTTATTCTACTTTGCCATTGGTGTCTCCAAACATTGAATTTCACATTGCAGACACTGTAAATCTTGTATTTTTCTATTGGCTGAGGTTCACTTAAATGAGAACAATAACAGGGGTCATGGGAAGGCGTTTAAAGAAACCTCTCTTCACACATTTTTTCTTCACATCTTTTAAACATAGCTTCAGCTCTGAATCATGCTCGTCAAATAGTAGTTAGCTAGTTCCCACATTCAGTTCAATGCAGCAGTTAGTGCAGCATTTACGGGACTGATGCGTTGTGCCAATTAGTTGAAAACACACTGCATGAAGAGAGAAATGTCCATTTAGTTCAAGGCAATGCACAGCTCTGTTTAGTCTAGCCAGGTTTATGTTAGCACTTATGTTCAAAGAAATTCACTGTGTTATAATGATATTCAGTTTCCTTCAGCTCCCACTGATGCACATGGTGAGTTAGCATAATGAAAGCTATTATGTCTTTTTTTTCTTTCAAACGGAGGGGCTTGTTCCTTTGCTTTCAAAGAAGTAAGGACAGATAGAGAAATGAACTCTGCAGAAAGCGACTGCCTTTCGGAGTCAGGTTTTGTATGAGAAACAGGGTACCGATTGGTTTGGAAAAGACAGATAGGGAAGAGAGAAACAGAGCAAGAAAAGGAGCGCAGGCGCAGTTGCGTGTCCAACCCTCAGCTCCTAGTGTTACTGGTTTAAGTGACTCTTTAATGAGGTTCAAAATGACAGGCATGTGGACCCCATGTTGTGGCAAGGGGAGTTATTTCTGGTATTAAAAATAGATGGTGGAAGGCTTGGGGGGTCTCGGGAGGTGGGTGTAGATTTCCACCGCGGGGGGCGAGGGGGGTGGGGGTGGGGGTGGTTTAAAGCACCAATGACCTTGCAGTTTGAGAGAATTGGTGAGTGAAGGAGACGGAAAGAATTAAACAGAGAGACGCACACAGACAGAAAGACATGGGAGGTAGCCCAAGGTAGTGTGACTAGAGTGCCTAACAAAAACAAAACAAGACAAAACATCTAAAAATCCATGCAGCACTACTGGGGAAAAAAAAAAAAAAAACTGATTCAATGACAAACACACTGTTCAGTACCATTCAGTCTTAAAAAGGCATGTACTGTTTTGTTTTTGCTTTGTTTTCATTTTTGTGGCTGCCTTTTTTTTTTTTCAGTTTTTTTTTTTTCCCCCCTCAGAAAGACTGCCTTCGCCTTTTGCCATTTGTTTTTTGTGCTACGGTAACAATGCTATTACAGTGGAATAGCAGCTCAGCTATGGGGGGTAATAGGAGACAAGGCCATTTAATGAGGTACTAATTTTCAGGCTAACACCACAGGGAATGAGACCGCATAAGATTCAAAATGGACGCTTGTCAGCAGATTAACACTAGACTTTTATCAGAAACCAGCTTCAATTGTACTCTCTTATAGTTACCAATACTACTATTTGTCATTATTGCTATTATTACCATGGTTTATTCTGTACACACCTTAACTTGGGAAATGAGGATCAACTTATAAACTGGATACTGTGTATCCTGAGGTAGTCAACCATAAAACATGTAGTGTTAGGTTAGTATCTGTTTTGTACCTTTCTGGAGGACAAAAGAAAAAAATGAGATACATCATTGTTAAAACTGTATAATTATTATTATTGTTATGATGATGATGATGACGATGATGATGATGATGATGATTATGACTATTATTATTAGGAAAACTTCTTGATGTAAATAGTGTTTGATATTAAAGTATTAATTTGGTTCTTATGTCTTTTCTAAAAAATGAATACGGTATTATCTCTGGGTTTTGCGGAGTGTGTACTGTCCTCAAACAATGCATTGTGTGCTTTGATCCTCAATGCCTAATGAAACTTTGAGCTAATACGAAGGGGAAACCTGTGGGAAATGTACACGTACCAGTGTACCGAAGGCTGAACATTAGCCAACAAGTGGCTCACCTGTTACATGTTTCAAAACCAGTCACCAACCCTCACCATCTCTTCACATAAGGATCCTGCCTTGGAAAGAAACACTTGGGACTTAATGGACGGCTTTCTTTGTACTTTTTTGCCTTCAATGTTTGAAAGCATGTTGGTCAGCTAAAAGCTCTGCCATGAGTGGACTGTTGGCTTTTTAATGGAAGGATCTCACCAGTTTCATTATGTGGCATGCGCATGAACTTGATGACATGTTTAAAAAGAAACAAAAAAAACAAAAAAAAAGTCAAAAAAAGTCAAAAAAAGTTTTAAAAAGAAGGTTTTCTTTTGCTCTTATTTTCTTTTTCTTTAAGACGTATTAGATTTTTCTGATCACTGTCATGCTGTGTGTTTTTGCATCCCCCCCCCTTTTGAGTGATTTCATTAAGCTGTTGTAGTTACAGATGACAAATGTACATAACACAAACCATTGTTGTGAAGTTACAGTGGGGGTGGGTCATTTTTGTAGTTCAAAAACAACTTTTAGTTTTGGTTTCCTATGAATGACTCTTTCTGTACCCATCTACTGAATTCATCCCATGTAGTTGCAGTCTGTCTCCTCTGACTATTCATCCTCTCTCTGCTCTCCCAAGAGGAGACATTTGGGAGTGTATACATCAATGTGTGGACGTTTTTCAGTGTGGAAAAAAAAAAAAAAAAAAAAGAAAAAAAAAATGTGTGAGACCTTTGAGTTTGTGTGTGTGCGTGTCTCATTTGCTGTTGCCGCAGTGAATGGGAAGCGGCAACCCTCTTTGGCAAAGAAGAGTGTTTCCCATGCCTTAGCCCTTCAGCCTCTGCCCTGGCAGCCCCGTCTGTGTACAAGACGCTTTCTGCCATTGTGCTTTTACATGGAATGGCTGCTGGCGTCGAAGAGACTACAACAGGGCCCTTCACTTTCTCTCCCTTTTTAACAACCCTGAATCACTTGTCCCTACGGTATACATTGGTCCTGGGTACAGTTCAAGGATTACTGCACCCCCCCCCCACACACACACACACCCCCACCCCCTCCCCTCTCTCCGCCAAATCCTAAACTGGATTGTGAGCGGAGTAAAGCCTATCATCGATCCAGGTTCTGTGCGTCCAGGGCAAAGCCTCTCTTCGTCAGCTACCCTGTTGCTGATGAGCCACTTGTTCATTTTGTGCACCTGTCCTGTCCCATTCTTCTCGTGCTTGTATAACCTCCACCACACCACCTGCTGTCCTTCTTCCCTCACCTTTGAACCCCGCTCCCACTTTGACATCAGTGGGGAATATTTCCAACCTGCTCTTTTACAGTATATAAACAACAAAAAAAAATTTGACAAAAAATAATCTGTATTTGTATATACACGTGTCTGAGCAACTATGAGTAATACAATAAAACGGAAATACATTGCTTTGATGATTGTGCTGCTGTTTTTGCTGCTGTCTCCTTTAACAAAAGTTATGTCAGTCCAACTTCACGGTATCAGTCAGAGGCACGCATATCAAATCTGTCACTGCATTTACTGCATTAAACGTTGCTACTGTAAGTAATACAGAAAATGAACATACTCCTCTGACATTCAAGCAGAATCGTGTCTCATCATGTGCCAAATTGGATGCCATTACCACACACACACACACACACACACACGCACACACGCTTTCTCCCTATCTGTGCCTCTGCCTAGCTGTCTACACTGTGGAATCACACCGTCTAAAGACCGAGAGGTACACCATCCATCAGGATCAGAATAAGACCTTAAACCTCCTTTCACTTCAGTCGGGCACTA